AGTGGGGCGGTTTGGGAGAGGGGGAGCTCTGTCGAACAACTAGCCTCGCAACGCCCCGACCACACAGTAATCGTGTTTATACGTCTTATGCGCTACACAGTAAATGTCGTGCCTGAAGAAGAAGAGTAAGAAGAAGAGTAAGAAGAAGGAGAAGAAGAAGAAAATAAGAAAAAAAAAAAAAAAAAAAAAAAGAACGCACTGGGGGACGATGACATCCAACGACCATTACGCCAGCCAGCGCGCGCCCGCATGACCGACGAGCGGCTTGCAGCCAGGCCCAGCCCGCGACGACCGAAGAGTGTGCCCAAGGGAGCTGTAGAAGGGTACAAGTAAAACTGATAGTAAGGATGAGCGGGAAGGATGCAAGCCCCTTGGACGCCCATGCTGAAGATCTTTCGAGCAGGGCGGGCCATCGAAAATGGTCAAGGGTGGACCAGAGAGGCACAGATGCAAGGGTAACCTTGGGAAGGTGACCCATCCTTACCATCGATTTCGACTGCATGGTATGGCTCAATGTGTTCTAAAGGGTTGGGGGTGGGTGGGGGGGGGGCTTGGGAGCACTGAAACTGCCACAGGTGTGCTGGCTCGCTGGGGACCTGCACGTGGCCTGCGCTGCTCTGCACAGACTGGGAAGGGCTCTGAGGGGGCTGGGTGGTCCTGGCTTGTTCGAGGAGGGCCCAGGAAGTCCAGCAGGCCTCCTCCTCCCTCCTCCCTCCTCCTCCTTCTCCTCCTCCTCTTCTTCTTCCTCCTCCTCCGCCTCCCTCTCCTCTCCTCCCCCTCCTCTCCCTTCCTCCTCTTCCTCCTCCTCCTCCGCCTCCTCCTCCTCCTCCTCCCCTCCTCCTCCCTCCTCCGCCTCCGCCTCCGCCTCCGCTTCCGCCTCCGCCGTCCTCCTCCTCCTCTCCGCCCCTCCTCCTCCTCCTCTCTCCTCCCCTCCTCCTCTCCGCTCCTCCTCGTCCTCGTCCTCCTCATCCCTCCTCCTCCTCCTCCGCCTCCTCATCTCTCTCCTCCTCCTCCTCCTCCCCCTCCTCCTCCCCTCCCCCTCCTCCTCCTCCTCATCTCCTCCTCATCCTCCTCCTCCTTCTCTCCTCTCCTCTCCTCCTCCTCCCTCCTCTCTCATCCTCCTCCTCCTACTACTCCTCCTCCTCCTCCTCCTCCTCCTCCTCCTCCTCCGCCTCTTCCTGGTCATGGCTTGTTCGAGGAGGGCCCAGCAGGCTTCTCTCTGGAGCCCCCCCGCGCGCCGCCCCCGGACCTCGAAGGCGGGGGACGCGCCCTGCCCGCGGCTCCGCGGGAACCTGCGGAGGAGGCCGGACGACGACGGCCACGACGACCACGACCACGACCACGACCACGACAGCGCCGACGACGGCGGCGGCGGCCATGACGACCACGACCACGACCAGGACTACGACGATGACGGCGGCGGCGGCCATAACGACAACCCCGACCACCACGACGACGAAGACCACCACAACCACCGCAATGACGGCGACGGTCTTCGCCCGCGCGACGTTCGCACACCCCGATCAGCGAGGATCGCGGGAGGAGAGGCCGTGGGGCCCCGAGGATGCTCCGAGGAGCCACCTGGAGGACCCAGGATGCCACGGGAGGGCCTGGGCGGCGCTGGAAGGGCCCAGGAGGGGGCGCGGCGTGGCGAGAGGAGGACCAAAGTAAACTCAGGATGCAACAACGAGGCTGTAAAAAACCCTCCCGTCCCAAGTCCCCTCCGCATAAGTACCCACAGATACTCCTTTCCACTGCGCGAAGCGTCCCCTTTGAATGACGGGCGCCCGGTGGGCTGCCACTCAGGCGAGGCCCCGCTTTGCATAGAATCCACCCTCCATCCGTCTAGCTAGAAGTCACGCAACCAGGCAGAATAATCAAGTTCAAAAGGAAAGTCCAGCGATTGTCCGTTGTGGACATGCAACAGCCGCCCGTCTGTATGAGTGTGTTGCACAATTGAGAAATCCCTTGCCATCAGATTTGCGGAAATCTTGAGCGAGCCCCATTTTGAAAGGGAATCCCCTAGTTTCGGCACCTCGGGTCATAACATTCGATGAAGTCTCAAGCCAGAGACCCTTTGCGAAAATGAGCAGGCCTCCATCCCTGCAGCTAATGGAGACACCTCAAGCGAATGCGCGCGGCACTAAGACGAGAGCCACACCCTGGAGACGGTTGGCCAGCCATTCTCGTGACTGTTGGAAATATTTCGCTTCAGAATGCTACAGTTGCCAGGAAATCTCTGGCGCAGCGCCCAGCCGGCCTACGGACAAGTCTGATGATCTGACAGGGGTCCTATCCACAAGAACGAAGACTGGAGGAGGAGGAGGAGGAGGAGGAGGAGGAGGAGGACGAGCAGGAGGGGGAGGAGGAGGAGGAGGAGGAGGAGAGGAGGAGGAGGAGGAGGAGGAGGAGGAGGAGGAGGGCAAGGAAAAGGAGGAGGACGAGGAGGAGGAGGAGGAGGACGAGGAGGAGGAGGAGGAGGGGGGGGAGGATAAGGAGGAGGAGGAGGAGGAGGAGGAGGGGGGGAGGAGGAGGGGAAGGAGGAGGAGGAGGAGGAAGCGTACTAGAGTCCCACCAGCCCTCTGGGCGTGAGTAGTTTAGCGAATTCGTTGTGCCGCCCCCTTCGTCCCCTTTCGAGAAGTGCTCGTGACTGCTCCTTATGGATAGTAATCGTCCCTTCCAAACTCGATCGGCCATCGAACAGGAAAAAAGCCATCCCCATCATTCTTATCAGAAACTGACTACCTACCAGACCACCCCAACCCAACCCGAAGACCCGAATTTGACCCGAATTTCGGGTTGGGGGGGTACGGATTCCATGTGTTTTCTCCATGTTCCCCGACCCCCCCCCCACTGGAAATCGAGGATAAATTTGGGCCTTCGGGTTGGGTTGGGGTGGTTTGGTGGGTGGTGAGAAACAATACAAAATGCACTTCCCAGCAAAAGCTGACTCATGTTCCGGTGCCCCGCGATCGCTTTTCATTCCGCGATCATCATGTGGTGCTGGGTCCTCGCTTGGAATCAGCATCGCCCCGCGTCTCCCTCATTACGCCTCACACCTCCCTCCCTCCTCCATCCTCTCATCCCTGCCTCTGACCTCAACATGTCCACTTCGGCACACCCCTAACACGCTTCGTGGTCCCACAGGGCGCTCCACCATGCGTCTCAGTGGCAGCGCCCGCATGCGTCCCCAGGCCCATTCCGGCACACCCCTGACACGCTTCGTGGCCCCATCAGGAGCTCCACCGACGGCCCCATTGGCCACGCTCGCATGCGTCCCCAGGCCCATTCCAGCACACACACACACACACACCACACGCTTCGGGGCCCCATAGGGAGCTCCGCCGAAGGCCCCACTGGCAGCACACGCATGCGTGCCCAGGCCCATCTCGGCACACACACACACACACCACACGCTTCGTGGCCCCATAGGGAGCTTCACGGAAGGCCCCACTGGCAGCACACGCATGCGTCCCCAGGCCCATCTCGGCACACACACACACACACACACCACACGCTTCGTGGGCCCCATTGGGAGCTCCACCTAGAGTCTCAGTGGCAGCGCCCGCCTGCGTCCCAGGCCTATCTCGGCACACACCCCACACGCTTCGTGGCCCCGTAGGAAGCTCCACCGAAAGCACCACTGGCAGCGCCGGCATGAAGGCACCACTGGCAGCGCCGGCATGCGTTCCCCCACCCATTTTGGCACACTCCTCGTGCGTGGAGCAAGTGACGCTTCTGGCACAGTGGGCGCAGGTGGAGCACGTGGCACATCTGGTGCATCAGTCGCGCCTGGCAAATTGGAGTCCGCGGGGCAACTGGCGCACCTGTTGCGCGCGACGCACCTAGCACGCGCGGCGCACTTCGCGGACGTCGTGCAGCTGGATGGCGTCTGCGTTGGTTCCCGTTGGTTGTCGATGGCGGCCCCTGCCTATGCTAAGACTCCCGTGCTACTTGTGTAATGAGAGAGCGAGTGGCGGGGTGCGGGACAGCTTGCGGCGTTCCCGCTGGGAACTTGACCACTGCTCCTTATCAATATACACCCTCCCCTGCCTGGTCGGGGGCATATCCATAACCATGACATACACACACCACCACCACCACCACCATCTCCGTGAGAAATCAATGCAGAGCGCATGATAAAGCAACATCTGGATCACTCGTCACTCGCGGAGACTAGGCGATGGCTTTGCATTGGTTCTGACAGGGGCGAGGGGGGGGCGACATGTTGCCTGCTACGCGCAGACCCATCATCACTGTCAAGAACAATACGAAATACACTCTTCGGCAAAGTCGTGATCTTGCCCCGGCGCCCCGCGATCACTTTGCACTGTTAATTTGACCAGGATGACGGGGGGGGGCCCGGCACGCGCGGCACACCTCGTGGGCGTCGCGCACTTGGCTGGCGTCTGCATTGGTTCCCAATGACCGTCGATGGCAGTCCCTGCCCACGCTGAGACTCTGATGCCACTTCTGTGGTGGGAGGGGGGGTGGAAGTTGGCGAAAGTGCCATCAATCGGGGGTGTAGCTTAACTTATGCCCTTACTCCATCCCCTAGGTCTGGACGGGGGGAGAGCGCGGGTCGTAAGAGCGTCCAAGATGGCCCAAGATGGGTCCAAGGTGGCCCCAGATAGCCCAACATGATCTCCAATATTGCACAAGATAGACCCAACATGCGTCCAAGAGGCCCCAAGACTGCCCCAAGTCCGCTCCGTGTGGCCGCGGAGCCTCCAACGACTCCCACTAGAAGATAAAAGCTGCCCTCTACCTGTGGAAGCTAAATGACTTGTTCTGTCTCGCCGTTTCGCTACCGACTGGCTGCTGGGGCATCAAGATGGCTGCTGGCTGCGCTCTCGCGGGGCTCTTCCTCGAGCTCTCTTGAGTCCTTCTCTTGCTGTCGCATTCCGTGTGGCCAGAATGCTGGTGGGCAGTTTCTTTCCAGGAGTCACCGAGCGCGCTCCGCTACTCGCAGAGTGCCTACTCGCAAACGGTGGAAACAAACACATGTCTTCCCATACGCATTGGATCGTAGATCCAGCGCGGCGGATCCAGGCCATCTGCGAGCAGTGCTTTTGCGAGTAGCGGAAGGCGCTCGTCTGAGAAGGAGCTCCCGCCTGAGCTGCGGGCTCGTGGGCCGCTCAGCTTTCAGGTCGGGGCGCTTCGCGCAGTGAGCAAGAGTGCCTGCAGGGACCGGGGAGGTTGGGACTTGGGACCGGAGGGTGTATTTGCAGCATCGTTGGTGTATCTCAGGGTTGTTCTGGTCGCTGGGCGCATCCTCACCAGCCCGTCCATCACGATCCCCAGGCGAGTTGTCTTGATCAACGAAGTGTAGCAACACATAGTCGAGGTGTAAACCGCCTATCGCTCCTCCCCTCTCCGTGGTCCATGTCCCGAGCGATACGCTCGGCTTTGCGATTGGCTCTCATGGTGTCCTGCATGAACCATTGGAGGCCGTCAGGGTTGCGCACACAATGCGTTCGTCCAGTCTTGATGTAGGTTGCTTCGCAGTCAGCACTTAGGTGGTTGCGCCAGTTCCGCGGTACAGATTTAAGTGCTTCGTTTTTCTGGAGGGAAAATGAGACGTATGTGAATATTATACTGTATAGCTAGATTGTTTGAGACCGTGTAAATATATACACACGCCTACATCTCTACATGCACAATACGTATATATGTGTGACAATAGATATGCCGACAAATATACATATATATACTTGAATATGTACCAATACATAAGAATATATATCGAGATCTACGCCAAGAAATTATCAACATGTACATATTTGTTTTTCCCAACCATCCTGTGGTGTTGGGTTCTCGTCTTGAAGAGACGTCGCCCCGCGTTCTCCTCTCCTCCTCCTTCCCCCTCCTCCTCCCACTCCTCCCTCCTCCTTCCTCCTCCGCTTTCTCCCTGCATTTCATCCACCCAGTACAACGTTTCGTGGCCCCATATTACATATTCGGGAGCCCCACCTACGGTCCCAGTGCTACCGTCCGCATGCGTCCCGCACACCCAGTACAGCGTTTCGTGGCCCTCCTCCCCCTCCTCCCTGCGTTTCACCCACCCAGTACAACGCTTCGTGGCCCATAGGGAGCCCCACCGAAGGTCCCAGTGCTACCGTCCGCATTCGTCCCGCACGCCCAGGACAGCGTTTCGTGGCCCTCCTCCCCCTCCTCCCTGCGTTTCACCCACCCAGTACAACGTTTCGTGACCCCATAGGGAGCCCCACCGAAGGTCCCAGTGCTACCGTCCGCATGCGTCCCGCACACCCAGTACAACGTTTCGTGGCCCCATAGGGAGGCCCACCGAAGGTCCCAGTGCTACTGTCCGCATGCGTCCCGCACACCCAGTACTGCGTTTCGTGGCCCTCCTCCACCTCCTCCCTGCGTTTCACCCACCCAATACAACGTTTCGTGGCCCCATAGGGAGCCCCACTTAAGGTCCCAGTGCTACTGTCCGCATGCGTCCCGCACACCCAGTACAACGTTTCGAGGCCCCATAAGGAGCCCCACCGAAGGTTCCAGCGCTACCGTCCGCATGCGTCCCGCACATCCAGTACAGCGTTTCGTGGCCCATAGGGAGCTCCACCGAAGGCCCCAGCGCCCCTGTCCGCATGCGTCCCGCAAGCCCAATTTGGCATTTACACCCACCCAGTGCTGCGTTTCGTGGCCCCATAGGGGGCTCCACCCAAGGCCCCAGTGCTACCGTCCGCATGCGTCAAGGAAATGTAATTGGGCATTTTCACCCGCGCAGTGTAGCGTTTCGTGGCCCCATAAGGGGGCTCCACCGAAGCCCCCGGTGGGACCGTCCGCATGCGTCCCGGAAACCAAATTTGGCATTTTCACTCACTCAGTAGAGCGCTTCGTGGCCCCATAGGGAGCTCCACCGAAGCCCTCAGTGGGACTGTCCGCATGCGTCCCGGAAACCCAATTCGGCACACCACCCACACAGTACAGCGTTCCCCCCACCCAGTGCAGCGCTTCGTGGCCCCATAGGGAGCTTCACCGAAGCAGACATTCACAATTACTGTACCCACAACTGCATATGGTTGGGACCTTCGCCAGGGTAATTGAAATACTATCGTCTCCCGACTATTCTTTTACTATTTTTGAATATTTCTCCTGTAGAGGGACAGGCCCGACTTCAGGCCAGCCTCCATCCGCGCAGCTGCTGCACAAGGATACCCACCACCATGCCCTCGGCACGCAGGTGAGTGCCCCAAGGCCCATGCAGCTCTTCTGGGCAGAGGGCCTGTGGCTCTCAAGAGCTCTTGTGGACAAGCGCGTTCCAGTACTCTCAGGTCGGGCCTGTCCCCCTACAGGGTGACTTTGGACGAAAAATAAAAAATACTCCAAAAATACATCTTAACAAATGAGAAACAAACAAAAAACTAGAAAAATCGCCCCCAGACTTTGTTTTATTATTTTGGAGTATTCCTCCTGTAGAAGGACGTGCCCGACTTAACACTCCTCGCAAAGTCACGACTCGCAAATGGCCTGGATCCGCCACGGGGGAGTTACGATACATTACACAGGGGAAGACATGTTTTGGCTCGGACGTTTGCGAGTAGGCACTCTGCGAGTAGTCGAGCGCACTCGGTGTTTTTAAGGGCCCGAACCCCCGGTTCCCCAGGCGGTCCTGGGCGGTCCTGAACGATGCCGGAGTGTGTCGCCCGAGCTTTTGGGACGCCAGGAGAGCCCCAAGACGGGCCAAGAGGACCCTAAGAGGCCTCAAATACGGCCGAAGAGGGTCCCGAGTCGTCGAACGATCGGTCCAAGACGCCCACGGTGGCCGCCAGACGGCCAAAGATGCCCCCAAGACGCACAACGAGGCCTCCAAGAGGCCTCCCAAGAAGCAAAAAACAATGGTTTTCCTTGATCAGGTGGTTGAAACATGCTGGCGCCCTCGCCTTTTCGATTTCCCGACGCTCCAGGACGACCCAAGAGGCCCCAAAGATCGCTCCAAGACGGCCCAAGAGGCCTCCAAGAAGGTCCCAAAACGGCCCAAGACGGCCTCAGAATGGCCGAAGAGTCGCCGAAGACGGCCCCAGAGGCCCCGAAGACGGCTCCAAGAGGGGGCCCCGACGGGAGACCCAAATGAACTTTCCGAGCTCTCGGCCCGGGGAAGGCCCCAGGAGGCCCTAGGAGGCCCCCAAGAGGCCGCCAAGAGCCCCCAAGAGGCCCAAACTGGAAGAACGCGGTGAGAAGGAAAACGAGGAGGCGGAGCAGCAGCAGCAGCAGCAGCAGCAGCAGCAGCAGCAGCAGCAGCAGCAGCAGCAGCAGGAGGCCCGAAGAGGCTGGAGGAGGAGGGGGGACGAAGCGGCGCGCGGGCGCGGCCCTGGAGCCAGCCGTTGCCGTCCAGGTACAGGTCCCGGGCGCTCTGGTACGCGTGGAGGTTCGCCCCGCGGCCCCAGCGGGCGCCGCAGAAGCAGCGCCAGACCGCCTCGTCCCGCGCCAGCTCGCGCGCGCGCCTGCTGGCGCACCCGAGCCTCGCGGAGCAGCGGGGGCCGGCCAGCTGGCAGACCAGCACCCGGAGGTCCTGAGGCAGCGCCGCCCAGCCCGACCCAGCGCCGTTCCCCGGGGAGCGCCCTTGCCGCCCGCGACCGCCCACGCGCGCCCCACCCGGGCAACCCGCCGTCGCGATGTGCTCTCACAGCGTCGACCCCCAGAGGTCTGGACCCCTTCCCGGGGGCCGGCTTCTCATCCCGAGCCGTTTTTGTTGACAGTCCCGAGGCCCGGGAAGGGCCGGAGGCTGAAAGTAGCGGAGCCCCTCCAGTCGTCACTCTTTGTTAAAAGGCCTCCGAGATGGGGTCCGAGTAGATGGAATCGGAGGATGGCGCCGCATCGCCAATGCATCGCCGATGTATCGGTGATGCACCGGCGATGCATCGGCAACGTCGGCGATGCATCGGCGACGTCGGCGTCGGGAAACACGGGCTCCACATCGAGCCGCATCGGCGATGCATCGGCAATGCGGCGCGGTCCTGCGACCCCATCTACTCCGACTCCATCTATGGAAGAAGAAAAAAACTCATGAACATAAACTTTTGGCGCCCCGCGCGGATTGCTTGGATTCGCGCTGGACGCCCCTCCCTGGCGCGCGGAGCGCGCCAGGGGCGGCGCCGGAGGCGCCGCCGGGGGGCCCAGGCGCGGATCCAAGAAATCCGCGCGGAGCGCCAAAAGTTTATGTTTATGTGGTCCTTTCTTCTTCGAATCTAGGAGGCCTCGATTTTCTCACAACAACAATTTTTCGGCGCTCCCCGCGGACTTCTTGGACTCGCGCTGGACCCCCCGGCGGCGCCTCCGTCGCCGCCCCTGGCGCGCTCCGCGCGCGACAGGGGAATCTAGGAGGCCTCGATTTTTGTTCACAACGCGAGGAGGCCCAGGCGCGGATCCAAGAAATCCGCGCGGAGCGCCAAAAGTTTATGTTTCTGTTTTTGTTTGAGGGAAAAGATGGGAGCGGACCGCAAGATTCAAGAACCACTGTCGCAACGCCAAAGCCGGCTGTCTTTGAAAGCCGTGGTCTTTCCTTCTTCGAGTCTAGGAGGCCTCGATTTTTTTCACAACGCGAGGAGGCCCGGGCACGGGGGCGGCGGGTCTTGACTACCTACCAGACCACCCCAACCCAACCCGAAGACCCGAATGTCGGGTTGGGGGGGGTAAGGGTTCCATACGTGTTTTTTCGATGTTCCGCGACCCCCCCCCACTGGAAATGGAGGGCAAATCTGAGCCTTCGGGTTGGGTTGGGGTGGTTTGGTGGGTGGTGAGGTCTGCCTCCCACCCCGCGGCCCTCGCGCGGTGCGCGCCGTCCGCCCCCGCGCCGTCGGCGGAGGTGCGCGGCGGGCGCGCGGGCGCGCGGCGCGAGGGCCCCGCCGCCTGCCCTGGAGGACCGCCGAGCACCCCGGCGATCGCGGGCGGGAGAGGGGCGCACAGAGGCAGACTCCCAGACAGGATCGCGTCGGGAAAAAAACAAAACTGAAGGGGCCCCAGGACACACAAATAAATACACACAAATACAACAGCTCCCCATATTTTCCCATATTTTCTGGGCTTCTGTCTTCCCCCCCACTTCCCATATTTTCCTATATTTTCTGGGGAATCGACGATTAATTGTGTCTGTGTGTTTCTTTCCCTCCTGAAAAACGGCAAGTTCTTCTGTTTTCGGCCACTGGGGGCCCTCGCTGGGCCACAGGACCGTACAAAAACGACTCAGGATGAAAAACCGGGCCCGGGGGGCCCTCGCTGGGCCCCGGGACCGTACAAAAACGACTCAGGATGAAAAACCAGGCCCAGGGAAAGGGTCTGGACGTCCGGGGACGCCGTACTGACAAAATCAAAACGTCGCATGTCTGGGCTAGTACTATATGCCCTCCTTGGAAGTGCGCGTCCGACCCGAGCATACAGTATACCCATCTTGTAGCACATCGTTTCCCGAGCGGTGTGGCCAAAAAGCGCCCGCCACGACGCATATCGGTGCGCGCGTCGCCCCTGGGGGGGCGACGCACACATAATATCAGCATGTTGGGGTGACGCCGAGGGAGGGGGGCGCCAAGGGGGGCGGGGCCGGGCGGAGCAGGAGCCGGCCTGGCCAGGACGGCCTCAGCCTGATACCTGACTACCTACCAGACCACCCCAACCCAACCCGAAGACCCGAATTTCGGGTTGGGGGGGGTAAGGGTTCCACATGTGTTTTTTCGATGTTCCCCGGCCCCCCCCCCACTGGAAATCGAGGGGAAATCTGAGCCTTCGGGTTGGGTTGGGGTGGTTTTGGTGGCTGGTGAATACCTGCGTCGTGGGGCGGAGCTGGGCGCGGGTGGGCGGGGCGGGGCGGGCGCGCGTGCGCGAGCGGGCCGCGTGGCGAGGCGAGCTGGACGGGCCGGGCGGCCAGCCCCGAGGGACCCCCGAAGAGTCCCCCTAGGAGCCCCCACAGAGGCCCCCTTGGAGCCCGGAAGCGCGCAGAGAATGCCAGGAAGCGCGCCAAAGAGGACCCACGACCGCCCAGGGAGGGCCCAGGACGGACTCCGAGGGCCAAGAGGGCCCATAGAGGCCCCCATAAGAGGCCCCGAGAGAAGCTGAGACAGAGTGGGGGCGACGGGCAGGCGGGCTGCGAAGCCAGGCTGGCTGGCCCTGCCGGATCGGCGGAGAGCCGGCTGCGTGTGAGCTAGAGCGCGGGCGGGGCTGGCAGCTGGGGCGCTCCCCCGATGCCAGAGGGCCTCCGAGGCTGCCGCCGGCGTCCGCCGCCCAGGACCTCCCATCGGCTCCCCGCCTCCGCGGCCCCGCGGCGACCTGCATGCTGGGCTCGGACCCCTGAGCCGCAGCGAGTGCATGCACGCGCCCGCCCTCCCGCTCGCTCTCCCTCCCCTCCTCTCCCCATGGCTCCCCCTACATCTACTCCCAGAAGGATACCGCTCCCCTCTCCCCCCCCGACTGCGTCCTGAAAGGATCCCGCCCTCCCCGTGCATTGTTTCGCGCACCGGCATTGCGAAGTCCCACCCGCCCTTCAGAGCGCGAGTGGTACAGAGCGGTTCCTCTTCCAACCCCCCTCTTCCCCTTCGGGACTGTTCCCTATTAATATACACCCCCTCCCCCAGGCGACCGGCAGCCAACCAGGAACAAATGCCGACCTTATGATCACCCCCCAACCATCCCTGTCAAAAAACAATCCAACACACATACTCTCCATATTCGGAGCATGCGAAACCAACCCACCCCCCCCCCACCAAGCCTATCAAAAAAACAAAACGAAGTACACTTTGGGGCACAATCTTGGGTCGTGTTCGTGAAGCCCGCGAGAACTTCGTATTGTTTTTTGACAAGGACGGCGGGGGTGCCAGTATATTGCCTGCTGTGCGCAGGGCCACCATTCCTGTCACAAGAATTCCTGTCACCATCTCTGTCACAATGATGGGCATTCGACGCGGATGGTTGGGGACGACACATTTCCCGATGTGTGCTGTCACGTGCGCAGGCGCACCTGGCACTGGCACACCCTGCACGTGCCCCGAACGTGGCGCAACTGGCCCGGCTGGAGGATGCGGCACACCTGGCGCACGTGGAGCACGTGGCGCATCTGGCGCACAAGGCGTGCCTGGCACGCTCGGGCCCCAGATGTGCCTGACGCGCGTGGCGCGCCTGGCACGCGTGGCGCACCTCGCCCCAGCGTCGCGCACATGGGGTCGCTTTGGGTTCCCAGTAGCTGCCCATCCAAAGACGACCGCTGAACATGCTGAGACTTGGGTGTTACTTACGTGTTAAGAGGGCGGGTGGGAATGAGCTAGACGGCTCGCTATCTAAGAGGGTGTCTTGATCCCTCCCCCATACACACCTCTCCTGGACCTGGACGGGGGGGGTCGTGGGTCGTTGGAGCGTTCAAGAAGGCCTCGGCGAAAAAGCAAAGATCATGGATTTGCCGCACGTGTTGGCCCAATTGGGGCCTCCTGGGGGGTGACGTTAATCGGGGACCCCTCTTCTTTGATCGAACTCCTCCAAGATGGCCCAAG